ATTTCAGTTTCTGCCACCTAAATGAAAATAATCTCAGTTTTGCTACTTCAATGATTATTTGTTCTGACTAAGTTATCTTAAATGTTTTGGCCTAACTAACTATCCATGGTTATTTCGTGTCCCTTATACTCTTGGTATAATATTTATCACTCTGCCATGTACTTATAGTTGTTTACCAATTTTCATGAACCAATGCAATTCAAAAATAGCTTTTGGAAAATCTTAGATGCGGGGCTGTGGAAGAGATACACACAGCACTTTTATGATATTTTTCTATGTAAATATCGACATTTTTTGTCAATAATTTTGTAATAAAAATAGAAAATCCGATGATTATTTTGGTACCCTCATTTAAATATTACTTCTGCTCGCGTTATTTGATTTGTTTAAGAATTGACCGGAGGTAATCTCAGTTACTGGCCATTACAATGCTTAACTCTTGGGTACGGGGAGCGGGTCATGACATAAACTCCCTTTCCCACAAAGGCAAAAATTCATGTAAGTACACATTTCAAATGTAAGGTTGATATAATTGAAAAAAAAAAAAAAAATCACTTGTGACTTGAAATTTAAAGCAAAATTTTTTAGGCACCATGAAGGAGAGTCGAAAAGGGCACAATATTGGTTGTATTTTTATTTTTTTTCTTTTCAATGTCATGTTCATGGTTCCTTTTTCAAGCACTTGTTTTTATATTGAAAATATTAAGCTTAGACAAAAAATATACTTGGAATTATATCATATTTAAAATTTATATGGATAATTAATTGACAATTTTTAAAGATAAATAAAGTTCAACTTTAAGATAAATTTTGAAAAGATTAAGTTGGAATATATGAAAATCTACAACAATCAAGTTCAAATAGAAGATAAACTCCAAGAGATAGGAAGTTCTGAATAAAGTAAAAATTTAAGTTCAAATTTAAAAATAAAATAATATAAATACGAGAAAATAGAATAAATTAAATAAAATTTCAACTTTGAAATCTTGATCTTATCCATAGGCTATGAAATTATTTTATTTTTTAAAAGCAAACGTGAATCAGATAAATGCTAACATTTTATTTTATTTATATATATATATATATATATATAAATAAGTGGGAATAAGAGTTGTGAGAGTTGTGAGTTCTTTTTTATTATTATTATTTAAATTTATGTGATACGGTGATAAATATGTGGGGTTTTATATACATATGTATAAACCCACGGATATGTTTGTTTTACTTTTAAAAAATATTTGATTATGACCTTATATACAATTATGTTTGTAAGTATCACCACAAGAGTCCCGCGCCTTGGGGGACTTAAATAACCATTGGCTTCTGTTTGGCCACTTTATGGTCCTCTATTTGTTATGAATCCATTGACCTCTGTTCTATGTGGAGCAACGTGCTGTGCAGAGCTAAGTGCTACACTATTGTGGGAGTCACCTCTAGAATCCGTATGAGCCACCTCTTGAATCCGTACCTCTGTTCTGTGTGAACCAAAGTGCTGTGCGGAGTTAAGTGCTACACTATTGTGGAAGCTACCTCTTGAATCCGTATGAGCCACCTCTTGAATTCGTACCTCTGTTCTAACTGTCATTTCAATGACCTCTGTTCTGTTCTGTTCTGTTCAGTACCGTGGTTATGGCTATATATTTACATAATTTATGTATTTCAGTTTCTACCACTTAAATGAAAATAATCTCTGTTTTGCTACTTCAATGATTATTTGTTCTGACTAAATTATCTTAAATATTTTGGCCTAACTAACTATCCATGGTTATTTCGTGTCCCTTATACTCTTGGTATAATATTTATCACTCTGCCATGTACTTATAGTTGTTTACCAATTTTCATGAACCAATGCAATTCAGAAATAGCTTTTGGAAAGTCTTAGATGCGGGGCTGCGGAAGAGATACACACAGCACTTTTATGATATTTTTCTACGTAAATATCGACATTTTTGGTCAATAATTTTGTAATAAAAATAGAAACTCCGATGATTATTTTGGTACCCTCATTTAAATATTACTTCTGCTCGCGTTATTTGATTTGTTTAAGAATTGACCGAAGGTAATCTTAGTTACTGGCCATTACGATGCTTAACTCTTGGGTACGGAGAGCGGGTCATGACATAAACTCCCTTTCCCACAAAGGCAAAAATTAATGTAAGTACACATTTCAAATGTAAGGTTGATACAATTGAAAAAAAAAAAAAATCACTTGTAACTTGAAATTTAAAGCAAAATTTTTTAGGCACCATGAAGGAGAGTCAAAAAGGGCACAATATTGATTGTATTTTTTTTTTTTTCTTTTCAATGTCATGTTCATGGTTCATTTTTCAAGCACTTGTTTTTATATTGAAAATATTAAGCTTAGACAAAAAATATACTTGGAATTATATCATATTTTAAATTTATATGGATAATTAATTGACGATTTTTAAAGATAAATAAAGTTCAACTTTAAGATAAATTTTGAAAAGATTAAGTTGGAATATATGAAAATCTACAACAATCAAGTTCAAATAGAAGATAAACTCCAAGAGATAGGAAGTTCTGAAGAAAGTAAAAATTTAAGTTCAAATTTAAAGATAAAATAATATAAACATGAGAAAATAGAATAAATTAAATAAAATTTCAACTTTGAAATCTTGATCTTATCTATAGGCTATGAAATTATTTTATTTTTTAAAAGCAAACGTGAATCCGATAAATGCTAACATTTTATTTTATTTATATATATAATAAGTGGAAATAAGAGTTGTGAGAGTTGTGAGTTCTTTTTTATTATTATTATTTAAATTTATGTGATATGGTGATAAACATGTGGGGTTTTATATACATATGTATATCCACAACTCCAATGAAAGATATTATTTGATTTTTTAAAATATTTTTTTAGATAACACAATTGAGAGAGGAAGTGAAAATACTTGAATAGTGAGAAGAGGGGTAAAGAAATGTATGTTTCACGTATTTATTTTATTTTTCCAAAATTACGAGAATTTAGGATTCAAGTATTGGAGTGTTTTGACCTAACAACTACATTTGGTTATATATATAGTATAGATAGATAGATAGATAGATATATTTAATTATATATAGAATTTTACACAAACTCAAACTTAATTTGGAATGTATTAACTTCATCTATTCTATATAGATTGTATTTGATAAATATTTATTTTTCATATATTTTTCATGATAAATTGAGATAATCCTCAAATCCAATATCAATTTTGTATTTCACATTTTTTTTTAATTATTTCAAGGGTATTACGATTTTTTTAATGTTAAATTATTTTTTTTTCTTCTTATTTTTTCGTGCATTATTATTATTATTCTATATTATGGATTTGTCGTTTAAATTTTATAGTGATTCTATTTTTTAAATTATATTTCATTTCCTATATTGTTTTATATAATTACAACTCGTAAGTAAAAAAACCTACACAACATTGACACTCTTGAAGAATCTTTAAAATTTAGATTTACTGCTAGAGTTACTTTTTTAATTGTTGAATAAGAAGTTCTTTTATGTTTTGACATCATGTTATAGATGATTAATTATTTCACACACTGAGATGCATCTATCGTTTGAATGTTTTTATTTATTTATTTATTTATTTTGAGTTTAGATGTTATGTAATACTTTTTTGGTTAATCGTTGTTGAATTTTTTTGTAGTTAATATTTTAATATAATTAAGAGTATTTATTTTGCAATCTTATAATATATATATATATATATAATATAAAATCATTATATGATATATAATTATAGCATATTTATATTTAATTTTTTCAATAAATTTTATATAGTTTCTATTTCTACATATTTTTATTTTCTAAATGAATATAAAAGAAAATTCAATAATTAGAATTACTTTTAATTTTATGTTACTAATCCTTCTTCTAATTTAACTATTATTTTTAATATCAAAATGATAATTACATTGACATGCCTTGCTTTCGTTTATGGATGGTTTCTCAGGCTATAACCAGAGTCCAACACCTAGATCACTGAACACAAATTTACCTAATGATTTTCTCATGCTGTGTCTCATGAGCATAAGCAAGCATTTCACCGGCTTTCTCACTTGCAGTTCCAACCATCAGTAAGCCCATACTGATACCAGCAGCTTCTCCAGCAACGGCACTATCAGTATAAAGCACAGTTTTTACGTCGTCATAGATATCTTCATCAGCAGTTCCAAGAGCTGCCAAGCCCAGACCCAAGCATGCACCATGCTGAATAACCTGCACCAATCAAAGTTTCCAACACCACTATTATAACAGAAATTCATGGTGCACAAAAGTAACCGAACAATAGATTATAGAGAGCAAGCACCTCTCCGTTGGTACTGCATAGGCTATCACAAAGAAATTGTTTGATACCCTCCCCATGGTTTGCATGAATCAAGCCTAGGGCATAGAGAGCACCGCCTTCAGAGTATGGACTGCCACCACCACCAGCCCCACTCCTTGTCAATGTGAATATTCATATTGTGAACGGGCCTGCCCGAGCCTGCCCCGGGCGATTGGCTGGTTTCGGGCCGCCCACGGGCCGCAGGCCAATTTTACACTCCTATCAATGTGAATGTTAACTTGTCAATGTGAATATTCATATTATCAACGGGCCGGGGCGGGCCTATTTTTTTATTTTTTCTGAATTTTTTTTTATATTTTAAGCAATTTTTTTTCTTTTTTGGCAAAATTAACATAAATACACTTTAAAAAAAAAAATTGTAAAACTTTTTTTTTTAAATTCACCAAATACCAAAAATACAAGAATTTAATATTTTTTTTTTATATTTTTATGTATTTATTAATTTTTAAAAATATTTTTTTCACAAATTTTTATTTTTTAGATACATATAAATAAGGTGCATCTAAATAAATAAATAAAAAATATTAAATTTTTTAAAAATATTCACTAAAAAAACAAAAACTAAAAACTTCAATTTAAAAAAAATTTAATTCACGAAACTCAAACCATTCAAAACCCTCAACTACAGTCCAAACCCTAGCAGTAATTCAGTAAAGTCCTCCATTTCCACAACATCCTAGAGAGAGAAAATAGTTTACCAGTTTGACACAATAAATAAAGCTAAACAATTAAGGAGTTGTTTGTTTGTTTTGTGTTTGGCGCGAACATGGACTCTGAAGAACTCCGCACCATCGTCTCCGAACAAAGCCGTGAACTCCTCACCGCCATGGCCGTCGAGTCCGACCTCGACCTCGCTTTCCAACTCCAAATGCAAGAGGCCATCAAATCCTCTCTCGGTCCTCAACCTTCTTCCTCTTCTTCAACACTTCCACAGTTTCATATCCATGACGTTTCCGATCCGAGCTTCGCTAGCCTCATCTCTGAAGAAATCGCCAGGTTCGAGCAAGAACACGGCGATCGCGATCATGCCGAGTCTGAGATGATGAAAATGCGCGACGATCTCCGCCGTCGGATCCACGATCAGGCCTTTGCTCGCGACATGAGTCGAATCTCCGAGGAAGAGTGGATGAAGACCGGCGATCACTTCGTCAGACCGTACGGAGAGGGTTCTTCTTATTCGGAGTCTTCTGCTAGGGTTTCTAATGCGGAGGCCTTCAGGCTTTACTCCAAGGGTTTGGTGAGAGAGGAGAGAGTCGGGGGTGTGAAGAAAATGTCGGCGGGTATTGGGATCGCCATTTGCGATTTGGGAGACTATCCGATTCTTGAGTTGCGAAAGCCTTTGTTTGGTTGTGATGAAATGAGCCACCAAGTGGCGGAAGTGAAAGCTCTGATTGAAGGCCTTAATGCCGCTATCAATTTGGGTATTAAGCGAATCTCCATATTTTGCGATAACCCTTTGGTCTATCAATATGTGAGTCTCCCTAATATGCCTGAATGTGTGTATATGTACATGTTTTGAATTCTATACATGTAATTTATTGGGCCTGAAAGTTTTCTGCTTTACATTTTCCGGGAAAATCTTTCGCAAAGTTTAACTTAGTGCTGTAGCTTGTATGGAGGTTGGGGTAAGTTTAATTGGGTTAGGTTTCTTTCATCTTCAAATCTCAGGGAGTACTCGATGGAGTACTCGAAGGGGTTGTGGAGCCTATCACAGGACGGTTTCGATATTTTTTTTAAGGGCAAATTACAAACACCTCCTGGAGAGATTTGGTGAAAATACCGATTTTCCTGATGTTTGAGAAATTATAAATTGTCCCTGAAGGTCAAATTTGTATAACAAATTAGGAGAATCTGTATGAAAATAAAAATCTTAGGGGTAATTTATTATGGAAATATAAATCTCAGGAGGCGGTGTCCCCTTCCTGAAGGTCAAATTTGCATAACAAATTAGGGGGAATCTGTATGAAAATAAAAATCTCAAGGGTAATGTGTTATGGAAATTTATATCTCATGGGACGGGATGTAATTTCTCAAACTTCAGGGGAATCTGTATTTTTACCAAAACTCGAGGGTGTTTGTAATTTGCCTTTTTTTTAAAAAAATTATTGAGTGGAATATTATAAAAAATAAATTATTATTTTTGAAATTATATTTATCATTTATTTTTTTTAAAATAAATCATTCTGTTTGGTTTTGGTTTCTAATTTTTTTTTTCCAGAAAATTTTACTCTTTTGTTTTTCATATTTTTTTATTTGTTTTCATTATTTTTTTTTTAAATTTTTAGATATACCTAACCTAAATATATTAAAAAAGTATAATATTTATGGATTTTTTTACTAAATACAAAAAATATAAAAAAAAATATGAAATTTCAGTATATTTTTCTTATTTTTGTATATTTATTAATTTTTTAAAATAATTTTTTATAAATATTTTATTTTTTAGATATATCTAAGTAATGTGCATTTAAAAAAGTAAAAAAATTGCTTGAAATTTTAAAAATATTCACTAAAAATAAAAAAACACAAAAAATAAAAAAATCAATTTCTAGAAAATTAAAACCAAACACACTGTGTGATTCAAACATATAACTACTGACGTTTAATCATTTTAATTTTTTGCATGAATATTTTACCTAACGAGTCTAAGAAAGTGAACAATTTGGATCATTTCAAAATAGACTTTTCAAGCCTAAACGCTCTCCTATCACAGTTGAGGTTGACCATTTTTGTAATATTGTTGAGCATGTGTAAAATGCTTATTTTATTGATTATTGTTTTTTTTAAAAGAAAGCTTATTTTTGTGATTTTAAAAATATTCACTAAAAATAAAAAAACACAAAAAATAAAAAAATCAATTTTTAGAAAATTAAAACCAAACACACTGTGTGATTCAAACATATAACTACCGACGTTTAATCATTTTAATTTTTTGCATGAATATTTTACCTAACGAGTCTAAGAAAGTGAACAATTTGGATCATTTCAAAATAGACTTTTCAAGCCTAAACGCTCTCCTATCACAGTTGAGGTTGACCATTTTTGTAATATTGTTGAGCATGTGTAAAATGCTTATTTTATTGATTATTGTTTTTTTTAAAAGAAAGCTTATTTTTGTGACATTGTTGACTTTTGAAATGCTTATTTTATTGATTAGGCACCAAGAAAGTTGAGGTTTGTAATTAAAGTAATTTGCCCAGCCCTGTGGGATGTGTTTATAAGTTCGTTCTCAAGATTTTGGTTTGAAATTGCCTTGTCCTGTGGTATGCTACCTTTCCGTGCTGGCAAAGAAACAAAAAACTAAAATGCCATTTTCATTCGCATTTCAGAAATTATAGATTGTTAGAGTTTGTATATTAACAGAATTGATAGAAAAACTAAAATGATTCTATCACTGTTCCGTACTAAAGAAAATTTGTCATATTCCCTCATCTCTTGCCGCCCTCACCCAATTCCCTCTCAACCCTTAGCCACCGTCCATCATTATTGCTGCACTTAGTGAACTAATGACCTTTCTAGGTCATCAAATGCCTAATTGATTAGTGGGTTGATGTTACATTTACTTACGCAGGTTACTGGCAAAGCAATACCAATGCAGGGACATATAGCTGCCTTTGTTGGTCAGGTGACTCTTCTCCAAAGAAAGTTCTCATATTGCAGTCCCTCTTTCGTGGCACAGAAAGATGTTAAGTTTGCACTCAAACTTGCAAGTGAGGCAATAGTTTCTCAGGTCACCTGTTTGGCAGAAAGTAGCCGTGGCAAAAATATGAAGGAAAATTGTTCAATTTGTTTGGAAGATACTGATGTTAGTCAGATGTTTTCTGTTAATGATTGCCTGCACCGCTACTGCTCGTCTTGTTTGAAGAAACATGTAGAAGTGAAGTTGCTTCAAGGGATGCTGCCAAAATGCCCTCATGATGGATGCAAGACTGAGCTGAAAATTGAGAGCTGCAAAAATTTCTTGACATCAGAATTATATGATCTTATGAGCCAACGTATAAAGGAATATTCCATTCCCGCGACACAGAAAATCTACTGCCCATATCCTAAGTGCTCGGCGTTAATGTCGAAAGCCGAGGCTTTAGTAAATACTAATAATGCAGGAGCCAGCATGTGCGAGAGATGTCGTGGCCTGTTCTGTATGAGCTGCAAGGCCCCTTGGCACAGTAACATCAGCTGCAATGATTACAAAATTTTAAATCCTTACCCATGTGCAGAAGATGCAAAGCTGAATTCTCTTGCAAGGAGGAATCTGTGGCGCCAGTGTGTGAAGTGCCACCATATGGTTGAACTTGCAGAAGGTTGCAACCACATTTATTGTAGGTACTGCATTACTCCATTTTGAATTGCCTTAATGCTTTGAAATTGCCTTAATGCTTTTAATATTTTTATAGTGGTGTTTAAATCGTGTTGTTCACTCCATAATGGTAAGTTGCCACTTGGCTAGGATACCAGTTGACTTGCCTTGTCAAATTTTGAAATGGAAGAAAAATTTTAGTAGATGATGAACATGGTGTAAGATGGAAAAGGTGATTTAATTCTTCAGGACCAATATACAATATTGGGCATTGTTAGGCGTGCTAAAGAAACCGAAATGCCTTCTAAAATATTTGGAAGTCCTCTTCTTTTAAGGCACAACACTTACAAGGAAGAGTTATATGGAAACTGATTATTATCTATTGTATCTGATGCTTTGTACTTCCAAGTCTCTTCTCTTGGTGGTATATCATTTGTGCAATCTGTAGCATGCATTTGTCCTGTTTATTGATATTGTTTGTCTCTTGAATTAAGTAGTGTTTTATCTGAAACCCTTTATCTCTTGCTACTTTGGTATTTAATGTTCATTCTTATTCTATCTTCACAATTTTCTTTAGTTTTCTTATATGTTTTGGACAAACATTCCTTTTTGCCTTGAACATTTCTTGTTTGATATGTTTGCTATTGAACATGTGGTTTTCAATTGCTGTTGATATTGTTATTGAGTAGTTTTCTTTATGATTGTTGACCTGCCATAATTTATGCATGAAGAAAATTACACTTTTGAACATAAAGTTTTGCCATCAATGTTGCATCTTTCAATTTCTTACTCTGGGAAATAACTATACAAGTTACATGGATTTGGATTGATGGTATTTCTGGGGCAGCAAAATGTCAACTTGCTTTCCTCACCCCATGTTCATTTGTTTATCTTATTAAGATTAAAGAAGTTATTGGTTTTCTTTTTCTATTTCTTTAATCCTTCCAAATTCCCTTTTTCATCACCCCATTTAAGTGAGATTTTAGAGGCAGCACTCGCCAATTTAAAGCAGATTGTCCAAATAGTGAATTGCTTCTCAAGTTGTTGATGGTAAAATAATGATTAAAAAATTATTTGAGCCCAACATGGTGGTGTGCTATTTGTCATCAATCAAATTGTGTTGCTATATATTCCCACTAAATTCATATTTAAGGAAACAAATTTATGTTAATTTACTAGTCTCTCTTTACCATGTGTGTCTTGGTGACAAACCACTTGTCAAGACTCAATAGATCCCTGTAAAACACTGTTGTCACTGCCTTCCTCAGCTTTATATCACCTATGGCTCCTCTGAATATTTTACCCTCTGGAAAGGAAAAGCGTAATATGGGGATTACTTTCTCATACTTCACCTTTGTGCCAAATACTTCAATTGCCAGTGATGCCTGTGTTTATTTTGGCAGATGTGGTTATGAGTTTTGCTACATTTGCGGAGCTGAGTGGAAGAACAAGAAAGCAACATGTAGGTGTCCTCTCTGGGATGAGCGCAATATCGTATATGATCAGCAGAATAGGCATCAACTAAGACAGGGATGATAAGGAACACCCTAACTATGATCTATAGTATCAATGAATGGCCAGTAAGTATGTCTATATGTACATATAAGCTTATATTTCCCACTTTCCTTTCAAAGAAAAGACGAGAGAAAATTAGGTGGTAGTATTGAGATTTTTATGTTGCAATGGATCAAAGTGGGAACCATTTAGGAAGCTTTACTTTTGTTCTAGTGTTGGTACAATTCTTGAATCTTATATAGAAGAGGCTTGGAACTTGTGGTAGAAGGATTTAAAAAAACCTAGTAGTGGGACATAGAATGGTTTTTGTGATTGGTAGGCTATGTTGAAAGTATCTTTTACTTTTTTGGTAACCTGTCTCGTTTCTTATCTTTGTTGTTATGTGGAATGAACAATAGTCCCACATCGAACGAGGATTAGATTCCTTGAGCATTTATATGGCATAGGCTAACATATGGGATTGTCCCTTCGGGGACATCCGATAAAATTGGAACGATACAGAGAAGATTAGCATGGCCCCTGCAAGGATGACACGCACAAATCGAGAAATGGTCCAAATTTTTTTTTGCCTCTTTTGCCCTGAATTGATTGTTTGAATTACCAAACTGCACTCTAAAATTTCCTGTCTTCCCAAACGTAACCCTCTCATCAAGAGCAGCTATTTATCTCCTTTTCAACTCTATCTGCTAACAGTCATTGTGATTCTTGGTGACGATTTTGAAACCTAAAGCTTTGGTCCTTTGGTCCTTTGGTTTTTCATTTTTATATGAAAATATAAAATTTTGTAAATATCACTGTTGTATCATTTTAGGTCAATTTTTTAAATATTTTGTTTGTGGTTCGTTTTCTCTAATAAGACGCATGTGGTAAGCATTTTGAATGTACTTTTTTCTATTATTACTATTGATTTAGGAATCAAAAAGTTCTGTTATTTTTCTATTGACAAGCAAGAAAAAGTAATAACAAAAATTCTGTTACGTGTTTTTTTTTTTTTTTGCTCTTTAAATTTTTTTTTTAATGTCTAAATTGATATATGATATGTTTCTCAATACATACTAAACAATAAATTTTCAAATGTAATTGTAAAATATGAAGTGTTAATAATTTATGTTATAAATACCATGTTATAAATGATGTATTATTGATTTGTTTGTATTAATTACAAAGAGTAATGAACTCTCTCTTTTATAGAGGGGAGAGTGTTACAAAGGGGCCAAAAGAGCCGAAAGAAGAAAACATAATTATTAAACACTTTACATATTATATTCTAACAGCCCCTCTCAAACTCAAGGAGGATAGGCACTAGCCAACTTGAGTTTGGAGAGAGTAACAAAACAGAAAAATAAACTGATAAATAAAATAAAACAGGATAGGAGACACGGTATGGTCGTGTCAGACCGATGTAGCAGACAGTTTATGGGGTCATGTCGGACCGTTGTAGCAGACATGTGAAATGAGTTTTGGAATCTGATTCAAAGTTTTGTTTCAAAATTAGTACTTGGGACTTTCCTTGTTTGGACATATAGTTTGACTGTCATAAACCCTAAACCACAATACTTAACTTCCCAAACAAGCTTTCAAGTAATAATTGATTCACTAAATAAAGTAACGAGACATTTATACACAAATTCTAATTTATAAATTTATACTCTATTAAATTCTGACTAACATTTTTTTTGGCGTTCAAGTCCCATTAAATTTTTAATAATCGGAATTACCCTTCAAATAACAATTGTTCATCATTTATAATTATCTATAAAGGAACATGATGATTTGACATTTATTTTGATTTTTGAAACTTTAAAACAACAACTTTTAAACTGAAAAAACTAAAAAAAAATTATGTGGAAAAAAAAAATTTAAAAAACTAATTTTTTTTTTGTGCAAAACTGAAAATTGTGTCTATAAAAAAACATGATGATGAAACATTGATGGGAAAAACTAGAAAAAAAAAAAATTAAAAAAAAAAAAATGATAATGTTTTTAATTTTAAAATTGAAAAAAAACTGTTAATGTTTTTTGTTTTATTAGATAGTTAAATCACATCAATAAGTAGAAAGACAAAAGCGTTTAATCTCATACTCTGTTTTTTTTCCAGCAGTTAGTGAAACCATGGTTTTGAAAACCGGACTGGATCGACCGGTTCAACCGGTTGAATTGTCGACTGGTTGGGGTTCCGGTCTGGGTATACTCTCTAAATTGTTCGAAGCCAAAACCGACCTATTTAGAGGACGGTTCGCCGGGTTGATGAAATTGAAGATTTTGAATTTTTTTTTGATTTCTTCTAACTTTTTTTTTTTTAATTCTTTATTTCTTTTCTTTCTTATTTTATGTATATATATATATATATATATAAGAATATAAGGAAATTTTAATTAGAAACTCTTTTTTAAAAGTCTCCTCTTGTGAGGAATCTCATTAAGAGTTTGAAATTATTGTGAAAGTCTCTACCTATTTATAAGAAAAAAAAATTCTTTCAAAAAAACTCAAGAAATTTATGTAGGATTCAATCAAATTTATTGGAGGGAAACTTGAAATTTTGATATCCCTCTAAAATTTTTGCTCTTCTTTTAGGGAGATGCACCAATAAATCCCAAATCTTTATCTTATGACCAATTTGGTCCTATGTTTTATCTTATGATCCAATTAGTCCCAAGCTAATATTAATGACATAATAATCAGTGTTACACTATGTTTTGCGCTTTTTAGTAAGGATAAATGAGGAAAACCCCAACGTGGTATTGACTAGAATGCCCAAAACTCAGTAGATGTTTGTTTTCCCTCCAAATACATCGTTACGCCGATGTTATTGGCCTTTTTTTTGGGTTGGTGTTCATCACCATCAACAACATCAACTGCATCACCAACATCACTAAAAAAACACCATAAAAAATCATCAATATCATAAAAACATCATTAAACATCGTCAATTACATCACCAACATCACTAAAAAAAACTTCATCAAAAAACATCATAAAAACATCATCAAATATCAACAAAACATCATCAAAAAAATCAACACATCAAATTTTAAAAAAAATATCAAACATCAAACATCAAACATCACCAACATTAATCATCAACATCCAGTAATAATTTTATGTTTTTTATGACATTAGCCATCTCTCTCTAAATCCAGTAATGAATTTGTGTTTTTTACAACATTAGCCATCACCAACATTAGCCATCTCTCTCTGAATCCAGTAATGATTTTGTGTTTTTTTACAACATTAGCCATCACCAACATTAGCCATCTCTCTCTAAATCCAGTAATGATTTTGTGTTTTTTACAAAGAAAAAACCCAAGCAGAGATTATCAAACTAGGAAATCATCATCAAATCAATGTGTAGATAAGAAAAAACCCAAGCAGATCCACCACTACCGCCAGATCTCAGTTTCACCTCCGTCGAAGTCACCGCCGATGTAGATCGGCTCATATCTGCCGATGTGGGGGACCGATTCGCATTGGTAGGAAGGTTTTGGGCTATAGTCATCTGCGGCGTGGTGTTTGTTGAGATCGAAAGAGTAGGGTCGAACGTTGAGATCGATATAGTCGGGTATAGATCGAGCATTGAGATCGAAAGAGTAGGGCTTGTGAAACGACGACGAAGCGATGTCTCCATCTCCATCATCTTGACGGGCGCAACATCACCATCAACGAGGATCAACGGAACAGGCGAAGACGGCGTCATTGCTCAGTTTAGCCCTACAATTTCTATCTCATTTTTTACCATTCTCTCTCTCTCTCTTTGGATATATATATATATATCTGTATGTAGATGTATGAGTGAGTAATGCATATTACAATGTGAATTGATATCGGTGTACACAGGAGCGTCTACTTGGTGCTGCACTTGGAAGCATATTCACAGGATTTGTTGTTTTCGAGCAACGCCGAAGCATCTACAAATGGGACTAAATGGTTGATGTTTGATGATATTGTGATGTTTGATGTTGTTTTGATGATGATGTATAAATGAGACTAAATGGTGTATAAGAAAACTTTTAGGATTAAACGGTTCAATTTTTCAAAAAATAGGATTTATGGATAAATTTTTTTCTTTTTTTAATCAAATTATTTGAATTAAAATTATATGGAGGGAATATTAAATATTTGATTTCCTATTCCAAAATTAAAATTAATAATATTTTAAAATATATTATTATATTTTTTAGGAAAAAAATATCAGGAGAAATATTTAAGATAATTTAATATTTTTAATATTTAATTTTATTACTTATATTTTTATTTAAATATAATTTTAATATATTTATTACGTCACTGTTCGATTCCGGTTCAACCGGTGATCCATCCACCCAATTATTTTTGTAGTTCGCTCAGTGGTCTAGTTTTTAAAATATTGAGTGAAACAATTATTTGAAATATTATTTTGTAAAATTGATAATTTTCTTAGTTTAAAAAATTGATTAAAAAAAACTATAATATTCTCAGTTTTACTAAATAGGACTTATTGGTTCAAAAAATCTTAAATAGGATCTAAGTTATCATAACATTTGTAAATAGGACTTTTAAGTAATTAACTCTTATTTTAATAATTTAATTTGTTGATATTTTATGTCCAAATGTGTATATCATTCTTTAAACGAATTAAGGAAAAATTACCCATAAATCCTAAATGGAGGAAAGTTAAACCATTTGGTCCTGAGAATTTTTTTGTACACCAATTAGTCATGTTTTTTTGGTATGTTTTATTTGGATGAGTTTGATTTTACATGTGTACCCTTAGTGCGATCGTGTTTTCCTAATTGACTGTTTCAATTTTGAATGGGGATGAGGAAATGTTATCATGGGGAATCTGTTTTGAATTGGTTTACATTCATCTCATTTGTTTAGTGGTGAAAGAGAGTGTGGCGATATTGTCTGGTGGGGTGGACATTTTTTCCGGCAACAACCGTTTTCATTCTTTTTGTGTTTCATTTCCGACGGTGTTTTGCTATGTTTCAACATCAAAAATAGAGGAATTATTAACAAATTAACATAACCATTAATTTGTAAATCCCCTCATATGTAAATATCTCCATATGGACAAACCCCCAATCACAAATTAACATAACCAGCTAACATAAGATGACAACTACACAGAGAAATCTAAAACAACATTAACACATTCACGTGCAAATCAAAAAAATTGGATAAAAAACGTTTGCACCCAAACCCCATTACATTCAACCCACATTTCACTGTTCCAACCATCAACATTACTCAACAACACCACCAGTTTCCACATTTCAACAAACTACAATAACCTTCAAACCATTTCCACAACTTAATCTAAACAACGCCATCTGTATTATTTAGTTCACATACACAATTGAGCAACTTACCCGACGTCATTTGTTGATGTCACAATCACTGGCGGTAACGATTGGAGGTTGTTTTCTTTTCGCAACACCATACAATGTCGCGACGGACTCTCTAAATTCACAAAGCAAATGTATTGCCCCAATAGCGGCTTCGTATGTTTCTAGGGTTTGCGAAGAAAAGGAATGTTCAAATTAGTGTACCAATCCACACTGAATTAACGTGTACCCATTACAGATAGATCACTAACACACCAACCAATATCCCATTAACATCGGATAAAAAGCACAAATTTTCATTTATGTCTCTTTCGTTCCGATTATTTTGGAGGGAAACCAAAATACCCATAGGGAATATTTGGGGCGTAGACATAAAATCAACATCAGCAAAGCCCACAATTACTCTTATTTTACGTGATAAAACATGGGCAACTTGGTCTTTAACATTAGGATGAGACTCATTAGTTTATAAGATTAAAGTTATGACTAAATGAATCAAAAGATTAGAATATGAGATTTATTGTTTTTAATAGTACAATTATTATACTTCAAAAATATTATTAATAAATTTAAAAGAATGACAAAATAAGAAATTTATATTATTTTAGTCTTTAATTTTTAAAAATAGATTATTATTTTGATATAATAAAAAAATAAAATAAGAGACTAATATTTTCAGACGGAGAAAATAATATTTTTATAAGACAAGCATAACTTTTAAAATAGGCTTTTGATAAAGGAAAAAAGAAAAAGGTAAAATTAAATTATGGGACCATAATTATTAAATTAAATTAATTTTGTTTTTATATTTGTGAATAACCAATATACATAATTTATAAAAAAATAAAAATAAATAAATCGAATCAAATAAAACTCACTTAGGACTGGACCGTCCGATTGAAAGGATCGGAGAGAAGCTGCTGCGTTCCTAATTGGTTTGTCACATTTGTGTGGTTTTCCACTTGTGCATTGGCTGCAGAAACACTCGAGATCGAGATCGAGAAGATGAGTGGAACAGGGAAGAAGGTAGTGGACGTAGCATTCAAGGCAGGGAAGACGATAGATTGGGAAGGTATGGCTAAGCTTATCGTCTCCGATCAGGCTCGCAAGGAGTTCGCTACTCTCCGCCGTGCCTTCGATGAAGTCAACACCTCTCTCACCACCAAGTTCAGCCAGGTCCTCTCTCTCCACCACCTAGGGTTCGGTTTTTATATGCTTCATGTGACAGATCTACGATCTTTTGCTAGCTAGGTCTTTTTGTGTGATGAAATGATTAGTTGGGGTTAATCAATTGAGCTGTGAATTTTTTTGGATCTGTTCACAAATTATCAAAGCTTTGATGCGCATAACTTTTTGAAATTGTTGAATCCAAAAAAAAAAAAAAACAACGTTCGTCTTGAACGGTTTATCTTGAAATTGTCGTCGTCTTTCCCAAATTCATAATGTGATTGGAAGCCAAACATGTATACGTTATGTTTATATCAAATTAGGGTAACCTTTTATCGTTAGTTCACTGATAGATGAGAAAATAGAACGAAAATGGAGAAGAAGAAATAAGAGAAGGGAGAAGAGACATTTCAATTCATTATATATATATGTTTAATAATGGTGGCACCTTCTTTTTCTCATCATATCTTGTGCCAAATGTCCCCTCATTATCCAGAAAAAATATTATTTGGTTAAAAAAAGAAGGATTTTTAAAATTTCCCTGCACATTCTTTATTAAACTACTTTAACGGAGGGATTCAAAAAAAATTTCCTTTCCTTTTGTTTTTCTCTTACCAAATGGAGTGTTTGTAAATGTGATCTCAATGTTTGTGGTTACATCACAACAATCCTTAACTTCTTTTGGTAGTGGAATGGGAAGGTGAAGATGGTATGCTGCATAGAATTATGTATATCACATAGTAGAAATGTCACAGGGTAGTTCTAGTGCAAGTTTGATTTTCTTTTGCCGTGGGCTTTGTATTTAAGTCATCTCCTTGCAAACTCCTCCGTCCAGTTATATTTTTATTAATTTTGTACATTTTGTCTTATGAGAAGAAAATGATGGGTAGAAATACGAACACAATTTTTTTTAGTGTTTAATTTAATTGTTTTGAAAGGAATGTGTATCATCATGCTTTGCAAAATAAGAATTGGTAGTGTTGGTGTTTGTTAGTAATTTGGTGGTTGGCCTCACATTTTTTAACACCCCCCCCCAACCCACCAAAAAAAAGCCCAGGAATACCTCTATTGGTTTCTTTCTATTGATAATGAAGAGCCTTGGTGTAAAATACAATGCTCAAAAATGGGTTTCTTTCTCATGCATGATGTACTGATAGTCCCAAATTGAAAAGTTTCTTGTTGGATTCAGATTTGGGGTTTGCACATTGGATTTAGTGCCCAAAGTCACTTGTTTTCACAATAACTAGTGTATCTTATTAGGTCGAAATGAAGATTTCAAGGGCGTGTTTGGTTGACTCATTTGATTTCATATTGCTTTCATTGTATTTGAGAGTTTCATGTATTTTGTTCTTTTTATATTTTAAATTTCACTCCACCAGGAAGCTTGACCCTATCTCCTGCAATTAGTTTTGGGAGTGACCTTGTTCTTGTAATTTTTGCTACAATTCCTGCTCTTAAATTCCAGTGGGCCATATCATGGAACATAATCTTTTCCCATTAAAATTGAATTATTAGAGTAAAGGTTTGGTGCATTAGCTTCTCCCCCTCTTATTTGGTGTGGATGTTGTGAGAATAATATTAGCATAGTATATATTATGTGAATATTGTTTCCTATTTAGGATTGGTTTAGGTTTATTTGTTTCCTATTTAGGATTGGTTTAAGTTTATTCATGTTTCCTATTTAGGATTAGGTCTAGAATTGATATATATATCAGATGTACACATTGTATTAAAACAATTGAATATACAGTTTTATTCAAAAAACTAATATGGTATCAGAGCTTGGTTCGAAACTTGAAGGACTCGAACCCTAGCAGCCATCTCTGATTCTGATCTCTGGTCTCACGAAGTCGACCCATCTGAGTTGGGTACTTTGTCTGGTTGTTTCATCTGGTTCGTCTAGTCATCGCAGTTCATCATCGCAATTCGTCTAGATCTTTAGTGTTTATTTCTCTGCCATTGGGTGTTCATCGAAGTCGTATTTGTCACCAGAATTGCAATCCGACAACACATTGACCCATCTGGTTCGTGCGAGGGATCTCTCTCTCTCTCATTTTGGTTCGCGAAGGTCTCTCTCTCTCGCACCTCTATCTGACCTTTTTCTTCTTGCTTGACTTTTGGTTCTCTCTCTCTGGCTGTGTCGATCGAAGCTCTTCGTCATTAGTCTCTGGTTTTCTGCTTCGACTTGTTGGACTTTACTTCAACTTCTGATTCTTTGGTTAGTTTCAACCCCTTAGCTTTTTGGTTATTATGATGTCTCTAGCTCCGGATGAGTGTGCCTTCTGCCATCAGAAGGGCCATTGGAAGTATCATTGTCTCAAGAAGAGATGTCTGTCTGGCTCGTATTCTCAACAGTCTCGGACCTAGTTTTGCCCTTTTTCTCCGAGTAATTTTCAGGCTTCCGTCGGTTCTACTGCATCTACTCCAGCTCTTGATCTTGACTTGGCTTCCTTAAGTGCTCAAATTAGTCAACTTTAGCATACACTGTCTATCTCCCAGCCATCCCCGTCTTCCTCCATTGTTTTCTCTCTTCATTCAGGTTTGCTTGGGTTTTCTTCAAGTATGTCTTTATCTGTTTGGATTTTTGACTCTGGAGCCTCTCATCATATGACTCTCCATCTCTTCTTACTTCAAAATTGTACTCCCTCTCATTTTCCTATTACTGTTAATGGGTCTTGTATGTCTATTATATCTGTTGGGTCTATCTTATCGTCTTCTATGTCTGTTGTCTCTATTCCATCTGTCGTTTATGTTCCTCAGTTATCTGTCAGTTTATTATCTATTAGTCAACTTGATGCCTCCGGTTTTGATGTTATCTTTTCTTTTTCTATCTGTTTTGTGCAGGATCAGATGTCCACGTAGCAGATTGGGACTGGTCGTAGAGTTGGAGACCTCTATGTGGTAGAGAGTTTGCATCTGTCTATGACAACTTCTTCAACTGCTTTTTTGTCATGTTAGTTAAATTCTCTATTCACTCCTTTCTACTTGTGGCATTCTAGATTAGGGCATTTGTCTGCTGACCACTTATGGTCTTTAGCTCAGTTAGGTATATTGGGTAAAGTTTCTCCTTGTGAACTTATTGAATGTTGGGGGTGTAAACTTGCCAAAATGACAGCCTTATCTTTTCGTAAAAGTATTTCTATATCCGATACACCGTTTTCTTTAGTTCATACTGATGTTTGGGGTTTTTCTCTTGTTCTCACCAAAGGGGGTTCTGCATACTATGTGTCTTTTGTTGATGATTGCACCCGTTACGTTACGCTTGGATTTATCTTATGACTCATAAGTTCGATTTCTATCAGATATACCGTACTTTTCGGTCTCAGTTTATGTCTACAATTAAAGTGTTACGGTCTGATTTAGGTGGGGAATATTTTAAAAATGAGTTCTATGAGTATTTGGCCAATTTGGATATCATTCACCAAACTTCTTGTACAGATACACTGGCCAAAAATGGTCGAACTGAGCGTAAATATCGTCATCTCCTTGAGATAGCTAGGTCGCTTCTTCTCTTTGCCTCAGTTCCGGCTCCATTCTAGGGGGGAGACTGTTCTTACTGTTGCTTTTCTTCTTAACCGCATGCCTACTCCCTTTCTTTCTGGTTGGTTTCCTTATGAGGCTTTGTTCTCCCAAATTCCTCACGACTCTCTCCTTTGTGTGTTTGGGTCTACCTGTTTTGTCCTTCTTCTCCGCAAAGCTAGGACCAAACTTAGTACCCGATCTGTCCTCTGTCTTTTTGGGTTAGTCCTACTCAGAAAGGCTATCGGTGTTATGACCCTGTTTCCCGTCGCCTTTATGTGTCCCGTCATGTTTCTTTTCTCGAACGTCTATCTTACTTTCAGCTTCTTCCTCTCACTACGCCAGTTTCCAAAGAGGATTTGGTTCATATTGATCCGTTTCCTTCTGAGGTCTCGTTTGATAAGTACATCTCCACTGTTCCTCCTGAGCTTGTTCGATCTTCTCCTCTAGCTGCTTTTCCTCTTTCGGTTTCTTCTCCTCTTCCGTTGTTAGTTTATTCTCGTCGCCAAGTTCCTCCTCCAGTGGTTGTCTCTGCCCTTGCTGCTGATCCTCTTGCTTCTGACGACTCTGATCTTGCTGCACACCGATACCTTACTCGAGCGCGTCATCCTCCAAATAAGTTGGGTTGGTCTAAGACATGTTTTTTTGCTTTCTATCGTACTTTTTTGTTTGCTATTCACTCTTTTTCAGAACCTCAATCTTACAAGAAGGCTTGTTAGGATCCTCATTGGGTTCAAGTTATGGAGGATGAGTTGTTTGTTTTACAGAAAACTAGTACTTGGGAGTTGATTACTTTTCCTGTTGGTAAGAATCTAGTTGATTGTAAATGGGTTTACAAAGTCAAGACTCATGCTGATGGTTCTCTTGAGCACTACAAAGCTCGTCTGGTTGCCAAAGGTTTCTCACAGGAGTATGGTATTGATTATGAGGAGATCTTTGCTCCTGTTGCCAAGATGACTACTGTCCATACTTTGATCTCTGTTGCTGCTGTTCGTTCTTGGCCTTTTTATCAGATGGATGTTAAGAATGCTTTTCTTAATGGCCATCTCACTGAAGAGGTTTACATGTGTCCTCCCCCTGGCCTTCACCATTCCTCTGGACAGATTTGTCGCCTTCGGCGTGCTCTGTATGGTCTGGAGCAGTCTCCTCGTGCTTGGTATGATCGCTTTCAGACTGCTGTTATTGAGCTTGGGTTTCATCATTGTGCCCAGGACTCTGCTTTACTTCTCTTCCACACCTCTACTGGATTTGTTGCGTTATTACTGTATGTGGATGATATGATCATTATTGGTTCGGACTCTTCTGCTATATTTGAGGTCAAGCAGCATCTTTTCCGCATCTTTGAAATGAAAGATCTGGGCTCATTGCAGTAATTTCTTGGTATTGAGGTAGCTTCTTCTCCCAATGGCTACTTTCTCTCTCAGGCTAAGTATGCCAATGACCGGTCTTACTGACACTAAGATTTCTGATACTCCCATTGAGCTTAATGTAAAGCTCAACACTATTGATGGTGTTCTTCTGGATGATCTTACTCTATATCGAGAGCTCGTGGGTTGCTTAGTCTATCTAACGGTTAGTCGTCCTGATCTTGCCTATGCTGTTCATGTGGTTAGTCAGTTTGTCTCTGTTTCTCGCTCCACACATTGGGCTGCCTTGGTTCAGATTCTTCGCTATCTCCGAGGTATTATATTTCAAGGTTTACTATTGTCCTCTATTTCCTTTCTTGATTTGGTGACCTATGTAGATTCTAATTGGGTTGGTGATGTTATTGATCACAAGTCCATGTCTGGTTTCTGTATGTTTCTTGGCGATTCCTTGATCTCTTGGAAAAATAAGAAACAAATTGATGTTGTTCGCTTTACTGTCGAAACTGAGTATTGTTCTATGGCTCATGCTACTGCTTAAGTTGTTTGGCTTTGTTTTCTTCTCTCTGACTTGGGTATACCTCAGTCTTCTCCGACCTCCCTCTATTATGACAACCGCAGTGCTATTCAGATTGCACATAACACTGTCTTCCATGAGCGGACCAAACACATTAAGATTGATTATCACTTTGTTTGTCAACATATGCAATCTGGCTCTATCTCGCTTTCTTTTGTTTCTTCGGCTCTGCAGCTTGCTGACTTCTTTATCAAGACTCACACCACTGCTCGATTTCAGTTTCTTCTTGGCAACCTCTCAGTGTTTTCTGCCCAAACGCCTTGAGTTTGAGCGGGGGTGTGAGAATAATATTAGTATAGTTTATATTATATGAATATTTGTTCCTATTTAGGATTGGTTTAGGTTTATTTTTTTCCTATTTAGGATTGGTTTAGGTTTATTCTTGTTTCTTATTTAGGATTAGTTTAGATTTATTCTTATTTCCTATTTAGGATTAGGTCTAGAATAGCTATATATATCAGAATTGCTATATATATCAGATGTACACATTGTATTAAAGCAATTGAATATACAGTTTTATTTAGAAAACTAACAGATATGTGCCACTTCTTGCCTCTATGACATTCACCATTTTTAAAAAATAGAGTAATAGAAATAATTCTTATAAAAAAAAAAAATACTAATACAAGTATCAAGGTTAATTTACCTGTATGACCATTGTTACTTTCAGTGATTTGAACATTTCTAAGTTAGCCCTTTTGTCCTTAGCTTATATGTTCTGAATTTGTCTTTGTAGTTGTTCAATTAATATGGAAAGTATGACGATTATGGACAATTTTATTTCCCATCACATTTGATGTTTCATGCATTTGTTAAGTCCTTTTAATTTAGCATATCAGAAATTTGCAAATTATGCACCATGCTAAGGTTCATGCACGTTATGATTTATTATTATTTTAAAAATATTATTTATTTATTTATTTTGGGATTGACCATGCACATTATGATTATTTATTTGGCTTGGTGAATAGAAACTAGGACATACCAAGGACCTTTCTTTTCCTTTTTCCCAAAAAAGGCCTACATGTCATATAAGTATACAGTGTACTCTTGCAGTCCCACTTCACATTGATGCTCCACTGGAGACATTATCCTTCAAACAGTAATTGATATCGAGTTTAGTTTTACATCCTTGTTTTCTCACTATGTACTTTGATTTTATATTGAACCACAGGCTCTGTTGATGTGATTCAAAGAGTAAAGTTGTGCTCTAGATTTTTTATTGCATATAAGCTGATGAGTCCCTTACATAAACTTATATTTTAGTAATTCTCGTTTTAAAATCATGCAGGAACCAGAACCAATTGACTGGGAATACTATAGAAAAGGAATTGGGTCTCGCTTGGTTGACATGTACAAAGAAGCTTATGAGAGTATGTTTTATACATTTTCTGTGTATGATTTGGTGGACAGTTCATTGAACTTTAATTGTTTGCTGGTACTACTACCCAGCTGTATAGCTGCTCTTAGTGACCTGTGGATGGATTGTCTTGTGCTTATCGTTAGGAAATATGTCTCTTACAATTTCTCGTAATGTTTTAATTTTTAATGTCTAACAAGCTTTCAGTAAGATGTAGAAGATTGAGAATTGTAAGTGTAGAATTTTTCCCTCTCTCTCTCTCTCTCTCTCTCTCTCTCTCAATTATCATCAAAGTTGTAGAATTCTCATTGATCTTTAAAAAAAAAATTGTAGAGTTGTCATCAGTTAATGTAGGAACTTTAGTTTATGAGCAAGATCTTGTTCCTACATTGACAATAAGTGAGAGCAATTATGAAATATTTTTAGAAAACTATCAAGCATATTATTTGGTGTTTTATAATTGGGGTTATTACATGTCAGTGAAGTCAGGAAAAAAAAGTTGAAATTCATGGAAAAGTTTACAAATTTAATTATTAATATGTATAAAGTTTTTCGTTGATTTGATATTTTTGTTGAAAAGTTACCCTGTTGTGTTATTTTCGCTTTATAATTTGTCTAAGACACATCCTGCCCACCTGTGCATCCTGTGTGCACAAGTGGGCATAGATGACTAATGGCTTGTGTGGAAATGTAGGGAAGGAGTTTAATTATACATGCAAGGGAAGGAAACACATTAATGTAGGTTCCTTGAATTTTTAAATAGTTCTATGGATAATGCTGTTTTGTTTGGTCTCTAAGCTCTTAAACTTAAGATATCTAATGTCTTTCATCAGTAATTAGTTTGCTGATATGAAGACGAGATACTGGAATAAGATTGTTGTGCCGATCTTGCCAGTTGGCAATAAAAACTTTGTATACCAGTTAAGAGCATTGTTTCTTTGGTAGGCTGCTTCGTGCATTGTGGAAGTAGCGGAAGTAGCGGCCCAAATAAATTCTGACTTAGCGTTTATGAAAGCTGAATAAACTTGGCCAACCATATACTTCTCTCCTCTACTAGTTTTGTGCACCAGGTGTCAGAGAGACACTTGTGTGATTGAACTCCTATTTCCTAGTTCATGTTTACTGGTGCTCTAGTAGCATTTTTATGGTGTTTACAGTGTCATCTGGTAGAATCTGTCCTTGTTTGGCTCTACATCTCACTGGTATTCAAAACCACATTTTTGCTGAAGTGAAGCTTAGGAGTAGAATTTGGATTCCACTTATGTTTGGTATTCAAAAATGGAGTAGATTGTGGTTTCATACTTCTTATTACTATTTTGGGCTTGGCATTGCATTGTTTAACTGTTAATCGCTCTGCAGGTGTTGAAGTTCCAAAGTATGTGGACACTGTTACTCCTGAATACAAACCCAAGTTTGATGCCCTGGTGAGAACTTTGAATTTTTTTCTTTTCTTTTCTTTCTTTCTTTCTTTCTTTCTTTTTTTTTTTGTTTTTCCTGATTGATTGTCAGTCTATTGAAGACTTGTCTACTCTTTACTTCCACTTCTCTGTTTTCACCATCTATCAAGTGGATTTTTTTTTCTTCCTTTCAACATCTTCCTCTACTGCAAAGCTCTTGTGGCACGCATGATTTTTTGAAAATGCCACATCTTGCGGCTTGGTAAAAGCTTGAATTATTGGTGAATAGTAGTCCATCTGTAAATGACCTCCATCCAATGGGGACTAACTGGGCAAACCTTTTTTTTGGTAATCTATTAGTAAAGTTTTTCACTAAAAACTTCAAAAATCTTTAAATTTATTGCCGAAAAAGGGCAAATGAAATATATTTAACCTGATGGGTAACTAAGCATTTTGGTAGGGATTTTGGTTGAATAGATATTTGTCTTTTTGCAATGAGGTGAAACATCTAACAAAGAAGTATGTTTTGATTTACAGTTGGTGGAACTGAAAGAAGCAGAAGCAACATCTCTGAAGGAGTCTGAAAGATTAGAGAAAGAAATTGTAGAAGTCCAAGAGTTGAAGGTAATGCAAAAAATATGAATTTTGGTCTTTCCAATTTTTGACCTTTTCCTTTATGTTGATATCTGAAGGGTTGTTTGTCGTGTAACAGCAAAAGATCAGTACCATGACTGCAGATGAATATTTTGAGAAGCATCCAGAGGTAAAGAAGAAGTTTGATGATGAAATCCGAAATGATTATTGGGGCTATTGATTTTGAACCACTGATACAGGTGAACTTTTATTCAGTTCATCTGTATGTGTCGTTGATTTTTTAGAATAAAGAAGGGGAAAACCAAATTGTTTTGCTTTGTGGGTGTTCTGAAGAATTTGAACTACAATGTATTTCATGCTGAGATATCCTCATCCAGCCTCTTAGTAGAGAGGTGAAAGGTTGTTGAATATTAAATGACTTGATTCCTATCTCAGAAGTAAGCATAAATTGCTTTAGACCGAACATTGATATCGTTTTGTTTTGTTTTGTTTTGTTTTGTCGGTTTGCTTGAATCATGCAAGCTCTTCTCTCAATGGTGATTCTTTTCTTTCTAATGTGTCTTGTGACTCCTTTTGACATCTAAAAAGGGCTCATATGTATATATATAACCTACAAATGGGTTCATTTGTTTTACCTGTTCTTTTATTTTTTATTTTTAAGGAAGATTATAATCTAAACTATACAATAGAGAACAACATACCATTTGGTATGCTTTGGTTCTTCACATCGTGATATTCTCATAATAGCCGTGTTCTAACTGACTGATGTATATAGACTTGTATGGTTTGTAATTGATGAGGGGAGCATATTAGTTGATTTAAACAACAGGATAATCAAACCATACATGAGTTAAGCTGATTTTGATTAAACTAAGCTTGACTCAAAAAATGAACTGCGTTTTAGATGAAAACTATGGTCTTATGTGTTTATCTGAAGATCAGCTTGTGTGCTTTCCTTTTTTGCAAGTTCTTTATGAGTACTTTGAGATAGCTGCTGGACTTCAATTTATACTCAACAAATTGGCAGTGGTGTTCTGAAATATCTTGAATAGCTGGTTACAGCCATGAGAAAGAGACTGAGACTCTCTCTCTCTCTCTCTCGCGCGCGCGCGCGCACACACACATATTATTATAGTTACAAAATATAATGTTTGAATTAACAGTTTGAGACTCTCTCTCTCTCTCTCTCTCTCTCTCTCATATTATAGTTACAAAATATAATGAATGATTGAATTAACAGTTTGGCATTGTGTTTATTGACGTTAATGTGATGCTTTTGGATTGTGATGTTTGATGATGATAATTACTTTGGCAGACTAGCTTTTGGCTATATGCACCATAGGGAATCTGGATTTGTTAAATTGGATTCCAACTTCACTATTGAAGGTATATTTTAGCTTTGCTACGTAGCTCGAATCCTCATTGGCTTGAGTGGCCCGAATATCTTTTTTCACTCAACTTTCTGCTGTTGTGCTCAATGCACTCGCACATTTCATTCTCTCTCTCTCTCTCTCTCATCATTGTCTTCAATCTTCATCTTGTCTCTCTCATCCCATTAACAGTTGCAGAGAGAAAAAAGAACCGTTTCTGTGTGCTGCGTTGTTGTCTGATTGGAGTGGAAGAGGAGCTTTGTGTGTTGTTGCTTGATCGGAGTCTTAACAGAGAACACTCACATTCAACAACAACAGACTCAAATCAAATATATAAACACATATACATATATACATACATATATACAGACTCAAATAAAATCAAATATATGTAAAATAAGTTGAAAATTCTCCAAAATTAAGCATCGAAAATCCCAAACCAAACCCTATCCACAAATCCCATTTCTCATTTCATTTTAGAAATCTCATCATTGCACCAAATCAGTAAACAGAGAGAGAGAGAGAGAGAGAGAGAGAGAGAGTAACTAACCACGAAATAAGGCAAGGCAATGCTGTTCTGAATAACAAGCCATTGAAGTTCATATCCGAAGAGACTCATTGAAGTCCAGATTTGCGGGTATACATAGATCTGTCATAAATTTGTTTCCCCTCTCTCTTTCTTTTTTTATTCTTCTCCTTCTCTTCTTCTTCTTCTTCTTCTTCTTCTTCTTCTTCAGTCTGTTTTAGAGAGAAAACAGAGGGGGAAGAGAAAAAAGGAGAGAAAAAAAAAATCCTACCCAAAACGATTCGATCCATTCGGGCCAAAGGCATATCGAGCTACGAAACATTTCTCGATACCTTTTCCTTGTTTGTTCAAAATTAAAAGGATTAACTTATACAATCCAAAAATTATACGCTCCACCCTTTTCTTTCTTGGAAAAAATAGTTGTGATAGCCAATAATTTTCGTCTTTGGTATCATTTTTGCACAAATTGGCCTTTTTTGGGAAGTTGGTTATTTTAGTAGGTTAGTTTAGTTTTTGGCTATTTTAATAGGCTAAAATAGTTGTGTTTGAGAAGTATGTTAGATTTTTTTGTAGTTAGATGTGATATTTGTGAGAAATAAATGAAAGGGTAAATTATACGGACCTCCCTTGAGGTTTACCTTAATTACAGGTACCTTCTCTGTAGTTTCAAAAATTATGCCGACCTTCTTTACTTTTGAAAATAATACACAGATTCCCCATTCTCGTTAAAAGAGCATGAACGATATTAACTTGATAGCCGAATTGACCATAATGCCCTTGAACCACATTGTGAAAAGACACAACTGACCCTTCTTTATCTTCATCTTTTCCATCTTCACAAATTCTTCTCCCAACACCTTAATGGCAGAAACCATCTCTGCAATTTCACCTGAAGAAAACCCATTCCCATTCCCAAACCTAGAATCAAGATTAGCCATATTGTGAAAAGACACAATTGACCCTTCTCCTTCTCCATCTTCATCTTCTTTATCTTCACAAACCCTTCTCCCAACACCTTACTGGCAGAAACCATCTCTACAATTTCACCTGAAGAAAACCTATTCCCATTCACAAACCAAGAATCAAGATTAGGGGAAGAATTCCCATCAGTCTTGCCTGAACTATTTGATCTAATTCCAGTAGGAATTGAATATCTGTCATTAAATTTCTTTGCCCTAAACCCAGGAGGTACCAAATCTAGATCAATTGGGATTTTTATGTAAAACCCACCATCTGAATCAAAATTAGGTCCAAAATTCCTATGAATCTTCTCAAATTTCTTGCTTTTAATTGGGCCTTGAAAATCAATATATCATTATCAACAACAATTACACAAAAAAATATATATATATAAATATATAATTGAAAAATCAACACCCAAATCCTCTTAAATTCAATTACACCACACCAAAATCCACACCATCCTCCTCTAAAATTCAATTACACCACATCAAAATCCATGCCATTCATTTCCAATCTCTCCACATAACCGAAATCCACACCAAGCCTAATCAATCTCCACTCTCTCTCTCTGATACATCTGTACTCTCCGACGATGTCGCCGACGAGAACATCTCATTCTCCGACCGAAAACAACAATAACAATGGCGTCAATGCGACACCGTTTCTCACAGACCAAATCCTCCGTGGTGCGACTCAGTTCCTTCGTCACGCCAACAGCCGGAGAATGATGTGCGAGTCGTTGATGTGAGTGTGCAAGTCGGCGACGAAGCAGATCAATGATAGACAGAGCGATTGGGCGTATTCACGGCCTGATCATGATTCTCAATCTCGTATATAAACCTGGAGTGGATTGATCTAAGATGTGAGAGAGAGACACACAATGGTGGATGAGAGAGAGAAGGAAGATAGCATAGAGAGATTGAAGAGAGATAGTGAGAGGGAGGGATGCAGAGCAGAGAGAGAGTGAGAGGAAAGAGAGATGGAATGGCTAGGTTTTGATATGTATGTGTTGATATATATATGGGTAAATTACACTTACCTCTCTGAAGGATAGTATTGGAATTTGAAGAATGATTATGGATGACATCAGCAGAATCTATTAGAATTTAGACGGATGGGTAACGGAAGGGGGTCTTTGTATATTAGTTTCAAAAGTAAGGAAGGTCTGTGTTATTTTTGAAACCACATGGGAGGTATTTGTAATTAAGGCAAACCTCAGGAAAGGCCAGTGTAATTTACCCCAAATGAAATGATTATGGTTTGATGTAAGATTTTATTTTATTGGCTATTTTAGCCTATTTTATATTTTTGTGAATTTTAGTCAAAAATAGACTATAAAAAAAAAAAAAAAAAAAAAAAAGGTTCAATCCCAACTTGCCAAACACTCGCAATTGTTTTCGAAAATTTTAAATGCTACTTTTGCATAAATATATATACTGTAATTTTATTTTCTGAAAACTTAAAATACAAAATAAAATCAAAAAATGAATGAAAAGAATACCAAAAAGGCAATAACAAAATTTGGAGAAATTTTACTATACATCCCCTTGAAAGAAGTATATTATATAGTTATGTCATTTTTTTTAGTTACGTCTAACTTTTTTTTTAGTTGTGACAATATTTTAATTATGATTCATGAGATTTTTAATTATGTCTCATGTAATGTTTAATTATATATATATATATATATATATATATATTAGTTATCACTTAAAAAAATATAGGCTCTGTTTAGTTTAAGTTTTGAAACATGATTCCATCCTTATCTTTCAATACATTGTTTGGTTTAAGTTTTCAAAAATTGATTCTAAGGCCACATTTCAAAACTCATTTGACAACATGTTTGGCAAATGAGGGAGAGATCAATAGATCTATGACAAACAGAGGATCACAAAATAGTCAAACAGAGGTCAATGGTTATTTAAGTCCCTTAATGTATGGGACTCCTGTGGTAATACTTACAGAAAATAATTGTTTACAAAATCATTATCAAATAATTTCTAAACTAAACAAACATATCTATGGGTTTCAATTTAAGAAAATGGAGTTTAGAAAATAATTAACGTAATCAAAATATTAACATAATTTTAAAAATATAATTTGGGTAAAATAAATTATGATAACTCAAAACATAAATAAAATATATTATGGTAACTCAAGGTATAATATAATTCACCTAATATCACTTCTATTTTTTTTTTTCTTGCCATTTTGAGGCCTTCCTCCATGTTGCCTCTCTTCTCACTTTCGTTGTTTATTATTATTGGCTTGTGTTTATTCAGTCTCACCAATCTCCTATTTATAGAAATGGTGAGCAAAGCTTACACCATTGATTATTTGCCACGTAACATTTGCCACATAGCAACACAATATATATCTTACTTCCAGATTGAGTAACCCTCAAATAAATTAAATATCTTATTATATTTTAGCCCATATATTAAATTAATTACACTCTTAACTTAAATAATGACCTCAACATATAATATTTGTACTGTGATGCTAATTTTTCTTAATTATACAATTACATATAAGTTGCACCTTGATCCTAATTAATCGTATATAGAATTATATTCTTCTCATTTATAATTAGATAATACTAATATAAAATTTAAGGGACAACTTAAATTTTTGAGTTGTTACATAAACAACTTTTCTTATTTTAAAACTCATTTAAAAAATTCAAAACTCAATTC